ATATATAATTTTGTATCAAATCTGATACACTGGGCTGTTTTGGTAACATTTTGCTCACAACAAAGTTAAATTAAGAAACAAAAGACAATTTTACCCTAACTTTTAACACGTTTAGAACACTCTAGGAAGTTTACTTCTTTTTTTTTTACAATGAACTTTTTACAGCCATTTATTTCACTTCGTAGTAGGCACAAAAACAGTTTCTGTCCTTGTTCAGGCACAGATGTACCTTACACTTAATAAAAAAAAATCACCATCTATTATCATATTGATAACATTTTCTTACTTTCTTTTTTCTCTCTTCTTCCTCAATTTTCTTTGACATCTAGCACGTAAATATTTAGTCAGTACAGTGTAGAGATTATAATTTCAAAGGAAACCACTTTGAAAATGGCCAAAATGTGTTTTCAAATGGCATTTCAGTAATTAATCAATCATCCAAAGTAGTGTGTGTTGTATTGTGGCAAGAATACTGTTGATTAAATTACTAAAATTAATAAAATGTCACATGACAATTCAGGACTGGAGCACCGGCAGTATCAAGTTTGATACACAAATTTTTAACACAGTTTAATTGTACTATTAAAATATTTTAAGTAATTATGCATTGTTTCAACACAGAAAGTATTTATTAAAAAATTACAAACAATATTGATGTTATTCTTACCATAACTTCTCCAAAATTACCAAAAGTTTTCATGGAAAAAAAATGTGTGGATGACCTCATGTCAGCAGACATTTTGAAAAGGCAAAAAAAGAGAAGTTCCACTTCCTGCAGTACATTGATAATCCACCAGAGGGCAGAATACAGRTCTCAAATGATATACAACAGGTTTTTGAGGAAAATATTGACCACATTGATAAAATATAGGTCACAGAATCCTGCGTAGCAAATATGATACAAATCGCGATATACATGTCCTTCCTGCCAACAGGAACGTCTGGCTCCACATGAGGGCATCCGGCCGATGAGGGCCATGTTCACCAGAGRAGGAAACATCTTCACCACAGGGTTCACCAGGATGAGCCAGAGGGAGCTGGGCCTCTGGGACCCGGTAGACAAACTCCAAACACTTTTTATAGATCTATGGATGCACATTCACTCATTCATTGTTTTTATCGTCTACAGACAAACTTTGAGGAGCCTATCGCACTTTTGGAGTTGGACACAAGTAATGGAGTGTTGTTACCRTATTACGATGCAGATGCAAATATGGTCTACTTGTGTGGAAAGGTACAGAGACACTAGTTTATTGGTTTAAATTATGTTTTAGGATACAGAAGCTGTGATGCAGTTTATGTTCATGTTTTCTGTTTATTTTATTTTATTTTTTAGGGAGACAGTAGCATCCGTTACTTTGAGATCACAGAAGAGCCGCCATACGTTCACTACCTCAGCACCTTCAGCAGTAAGGAGCCTCAGAGAGGGATGGGCTTCATGCCCAAGAGAGGCGTGGACGTCACCAAATGCGAGATTGCTCGGTAAGAAGCGAACAATAAATCTAAGCTTTATTTTATGTACACGGTACACTGAAAAAAATAAATTGTAAGATGTATTTGAAAAAATCCTCTAACAAATTTGCACTAACGTTTGTAAGTAAATTCAAATGC